CTGCGTTTTTTAAGTGTCACAATACAGTGATACTCAAACTGTTCGCTACATATATTTTTAAGCTAAATACATAAGCTCCTAAATTGTTGTGTGTGTTGTGTTAAACTTATTTTGCTTGTCTTTTTATTAACATAAGTGTTATTAAATCTTTCAACATGAAGTGTGATCTTGATAACTGCCAAATTAAAAGCGAATCTGAACGCTACTTATCGTGCTGGCTCTGTGATGGTGTTTGCCATCTAAAATGTGCTGGTTTGACAGGAAGAATTCTGGACGCTATTATTGATGGCAAAGGTCTTCGCTGGTCTTGCTTAAAGTGCAGGTCAACCGAAGTTGATCTCTTTAAGTTGTTTAGGCAACCCAGAAATGGGTTTTCTGAGGTAGGGAGAGAGTTGTCGGTACTGACCGAAAAATTTAAACATTATGAAAATGTATTTAAATCTTTTAAATGCTTAGATACCGTACAATCTATGAAGGACATCCATGTGTCAAAACGTAAGCGTCTTCATAGTCCGCCTAATGAAAGGACCGTTCCACGTCAGAACAATCTTCCGAATGACTTAATTAATCTTTCTTCTCCATGTCCACAGACAACGGAGTTATCTTCCTCAAAAGAACATATATCAAAGTCTGTTTCTAATAATAACGACCCTGCAGTATCTTCCCCTTCCCCCGTTGAAGTTTGGCACCGCCATCTAATCTTCCAACGCTTACTCTACCCTCAATTAGTAACTCAGTTACTCAACCCCGTCCGCCGGTAATCGAGTCTAATACTAGGAGACTGGTTGTGGTTCCCCCAAAGAAGTCTATATTTGTATCTAGATTTTCGAGGGATACTTCCGAGGACGATATAAAGTTTTACATCTCGTCCAAAGTTAAAACTGTCAACTTAAGTATCAGAAAATTTAATTTTAAATATGAAAGAAATATTTCTTCATTTAAAAAAGACGTAAATTTAGAAAATTTTGACATGCTGCTTAGTAGTTCTTTTTGGCCCTCCGGAGCTTTCGTTCGTGAATTTGAGTATAGGCCCAACAAAAATAATAATCTAGCAAATATTCCCCGTCAGAATACAGAACCAAAAAACTGATTACTAAATCTGCTTTAAGTATTTATTATCAAAACGTAAGAGGCATAAATACTAAATTAACGAATTTATATCTTAATGGCCTTGAATGCGATGATAATAAAACTTCTTTGACTGAAACTTGGCTCAAACCTCACACTTTTAATTCAGAGATTCTTTCAAATAATTATCATATCTACAGAAACGCAAACAGCTGTGACAAGAAATACTAAACGAAGTAAACAAAAAGAGCAAAAAGAAATGTGCAAAAACAGAAACGATCTCAGTTAACTACAAAGGAATAACAACAACAATGATAACAACAAATGACTCGGCAAGATTAGATGTATGCTAGTGAAATTTAATTAAATTTAATATAAACCACAAAAATCACAAAACTTTCACTTAGCTTCGATTATTATCACACTAAGATGCTCGTAGGCACTTTTTATAGCAACTTTTACTCAGAATTAGCACAATAAACTTTGCAAAATACAAAGACAAATCAGAGCACAATATAAGTAGAACTTCACAGCTATATAAAATAAGCGGATAAATGGTTGCAAGTGTGGGAAGACTTATAGCTTCTTGTCGAAGCATATATATGACATAATTGTGCAATTACAGCGTCATTCCAATGATTTTGGAAGGATATTCTAACGACTTTCAAATCGGAGAGCATATCATTTAATAATGCTCACTACTCGTCTTAGACGACTACATCATATGACACAAGCACATTTTAAGTTATTAGTTTATTTGAAGAAAAATTTTCTTTAAAGGCCAGTGATGCACTGAAATTTTTGGCAAATAGTATTCGACCGTAATGTAATTTTTATCAGAATGTAGACCAGATTCGCAACTTATGACTACTGTTAGTATCGATACTTTTCTTACGATACATTGGTAATACTCTTAAAAAAACTGTTTGTTTTTAAATGCAACGGTGGTACAATTGCAACGGAAACTTTATTATTGGCATATATGCAATATTCTTCATGCAAATTCTTATATCTTGAATTTGGCTCAGAAGATTTCCAATATTTTCACCAGTTGACCGGGCTATTTTTGGTGCGTAGAGGTGGCACGGTTACTCAAAAGTCACGGGTAACTGCTGTGACAACTTCCAAAAAGTCCCCGTGACAGACTGTGACAAAAAAACAGCCGCAATTATGTTTTTGTAGTAGGATTGCGCCTTCCACGCTGCTACGAACTGTGGCTGTGATAAGTAGGAGTCGCAATTACATATCGAGAACCTGTGACCAGTTATTTAAGACTAAAATCTGAATAATGTTGTTTGATATTAGAATTTTACACGAGTATATTTAAACGAGTATGAATGACAAGACAACATATTACTAGTTCTCGCATATTTATGCATGTGCATATTTATGCTTAACATCACAGAAAGTCCGGACCTGGGTAGAAACTCAATGTAGGTGGAAGTGATCCTATTATGTTTTGCATATTTTCACATATTTTGCATGCTTGCATATTTTTTTAATATTTGCATATTTTTTTATATATTTTGCATATCTTTGCTTATTTAATTAATTAATTAATCCCAACGGTTTTTAAGCCCCTTTCCCGCCCAATCGACTCGAGGGGCGTAGTCCGCAAGACGCACAGAACTTTTTTTTTTTTGGTGCCGAGTCGTGGAAGCAGGAATTTGTGAAGTGTCGAGATCTAAAACTATTCAGCTACAGAATCAAATTCATTGTATATGCTAAAGATAGTATTTCAATTATTGAGAGTGGAAATGAAAGATTGGCTGACTTCCAAAACGTCAATTGCTTTGCATATGTACAAAGTATAATGTTACATAATGTCGAACTACAAAATATTGGCAATGTATACTGTTCCAAAACGCATCCGTAAAGTTATCGAAACGAATCGCTAGAATCAGCGCATCAGAAACAAAGTTGATGCTTCGTTTGTTACCATTGGTATTTTAAAAATGGAAAGTTCAGAAAAATTGTTCATTGCTACACCCATAAAATGGTTTAGTTATAAATATCAAGATTTGGTTATATTGACCCAGCGGCATAGTTGGATATGGCGAAATAAATATCTAGTTCACGAAAGTCTGCAATTTACTTGAGACTTATAGTTGGGACAAATGTATATTTGTTAATAATTACAAAACGACTACCTTGATTGGACGATATTGTTAGTTCAATAAAATCATTGTTGATAAACAATGCTTTTGGTTTTCTGTTAATTTTGTGAACTTACTGTAAACTTGAATCAGCTAACCCAGGGCCGGATCCACGGTGGCGGAGGAGGTAGGGGGGAAATAGGGGAAACTCCCCTCTCCCCTCCCAAAATCCGAGTCGGTCGAGAAATCCGAGTTTGGCTAAGAATTTCAATTACACTCTTGGTATTGTGATTCTACTTCC